CTAACCCTAACCCTAACCCTAACCCTAACCCTAACCCTAACCCTAACCCTAACCCTAACCCTAACCCTAACCCACGGGGGGCGCTCCCGCGCCGTCCTGCCCCTCCCCGTACCACCCCTCGACCCACGGGGGACGCGCTCCGCGCCCGGGTTACGCCGCCCTACTACTCGCCCATCCCCCCCCCCTCCCTCCGCCCTACCTGCTGACACTCCTAACGTGGGCGCCGATATCGCATCACGTGATGTCCCCTACCTCGCCCGCCGGCATACCTCCCTAGGTTCCTTTAGGCGCCCTACCGGCCCCCACCCTATCACATTCAGACCCCCTCCCCTTCTCCCTTAACCGCCTACCCTACCCCTCACTACCCTACCTCGCTAGCCGGCATAACCCACCGGGTTCCCTAGGGGAGACCCCTACTCCCCACCCTATAAATAAACCCTCCTTCTCCCCCCCCCCCCCCACCTTCTCCCTATATCCCTTTAATCCCCCCTTACCTTACTATAACCCTAACCCTCTAAGTCCCCCCCTCTCTATCATAACCCTAACCCTCCTATTCCCCTCCTCTCTTCTCTCCCTAATACCAATCCTACGTCACCCTAAATTTAATTCGCTCCTACTCTACTCTCTAACCCTAACTCTATCCCTATTAATCCTAGTCCGAAATCCCTCCCTCTCCCCCTATCTTAATTCTATACCTTAACCCCTAATCATATCGATACTAATTCTTCCCCCGACAATCTCAAACCTCCCTATCTCTGACGATATATACTCTATACTCTAAATCCATTTAACGATCTCTTCATCCGTCATCTTCCTATCTCCTGTCTAAGACTCACTCTCTCTATATCCCTAACCGGTCTTGACTATCCTCTACTCCCTAACCCTATCGATTTCACTTCTTCTATCAAATATAAACCTCCCTCCTTTCCCTAATCCTCTTCTGGAGAGTCAATCATTTTATCTAATATCATTCTCCTCTTTAATCTCGTCATAATCTTAGTCTGAAATTTTCTATTCGCTTCCCTCTCCTATATCCCTACCCCTTCTATAGTTAATAGACTCCGCTACTATTCTCACCCTAACTCTCCCCCTCCTACCTGGATAAATTATCCCTAATTTTATCGCTAACTTCTTTAATCATCCAATATCTAATCTAACCCTTCTTTCTCCTCAAATCTATCCTACCCCTATCTAAGATAACACTCGAAAAACCCCTCTTCATCAAAAATAACTCTATAGGACTAAAACTATGAAATCTCCTAAATCTCCCCTTATCTTTACCGTCCCTCCTTTCCTCACCTGAACTACCTTATTCCTCTAAATCCTCTATCTTAATTATCCTATTTATCTACTTAAGTCCTATACTAATATAACCCTTTTCACCCTTTCCTCCTAACCCTATCATAAACTGATTAATATCCTACTATCCTACTTTTCTTCCTCTAATTTAATCACCCTCCGAGATTATCCTACTCTCAATACCGATAACGAAAAATATCTACTAGTTAACCCCCTAACCTTAATACCCCTTCCTTACTCTTATTATGTCACTAACCCAGACCCTTCTCCCCTACCTCTTTAGATATATTCTCAATGTCTAAGTATCCGATCTGGACTTAATCCCTAAAACTAGTCTTACTCTAAACCTTACCGCCTAGATATAACTAAAACTCTAGATGTTAGACCTATAAAGAAAGTCATCATATATACTCCCCTCAACGCTACGGAAATCCACTCATACCTCACCTAGTTTAAGCTTCTTAAGTACCTTATCGAGTATCCGCACCGCTTGAATCGTACAGTCACTAAATAACGCTATCTCTTCGCCTATCCACTTCACTCAGTCCTCCTCTTTCTCAAACCCACTGAACTACTCACTAAACTCTTCTAATGTCTCACCCTAGCGGTTATATATGTAGTAAACCGCCCAAGTCGCCGGTAGCACTATGTCCCGGAATTCGCACTTACTTAGTCCGACTTGGGGATCTTAGTCACTGTAGATGATCGGCGGTTGACTACACCCCTAGTACACCGTCTACTCCATCATCCATTCTCGGCTCTTCTCCTTCTTCGCGAACGGTCGCTTGGCGTTGAAGAACCGGAACTTACTCTGCTACTGATACTAGTTAAGATCGTGGTGGGGGAGACCGTTGTCGTATAGTAGTTGGTATAATAAATAACGTCCTTTCCACTGCCGTAACCGCCGGATGTACTGCGTAAGCCGGTATGCGCTATTGCGTTCGGCCTCCTGGAGTCGCTGGCGACCACCCTTGTATGGACTGGAAGCCTCATCAACGTCCGCAACGTCCTTATCCCCCTCCTCACCCTTAACACCCTCCTCTCGCCGACCTTGACTCGGCTCGATAGGCTCCGAATCCCACTATGGCGTTGTGTTAGATTCCGCCCCAGGATCGAAGAGCCCGTTGAAGCCGTCCACTCTACTATTGATTCGGCAAAAGCTGCACCGGAGCCAGACATCGGTATAATACTGCATGTACTTGGCGCCATCCACGTACTGGCTAAGTACCACTCCGAGACACTATGCATTCGTATAGCGTTGCATGATATGCGTAGATAGCGGAGTGATATGCTTCTCCCGCTCCCAGCGCTCGTCGTCTATGGCCCGGGCGTGACGGGGTAATAAGACCGTACTGACACTACTACGCCCGTCACGCCTAATGCGACCCACCTCCTGTGAGAAATTGATGGCATCACTTAGTAAGCCGTAGTGAAACACGTTCCGGACGTACGCGTAGTCAACCTCCATCCCAAATACACTAGTCGTAACGATCACCTTATGTTTGCCCCGGCACCAGCGCCGTAACACTTAGTCCTTCTCCTGGACCGTGCTGGACTGGGAATGGTAGAACTCATAATTAAGTAGCTCTACGAGCATCCGGGTCACCTCGCGGTTCTCGACGTAGACAATATATCGTGCTCAGGTTTCATGGGCCTCATAGAATGCGAGAGTACGCTGAACCGTCGAGACCACCTACGCATTAAATGTCTCGCCCTCGCCCTTCTCCTCCTCCACCGCGCCCGGCTACTACTGGATCACGTACCGAATGTCGGCCCGGAATATAGTGTCGCGAATTACGCGCGCCTAGTCGAGAAACATCCGCCCTGAGAACTCCTCTATCATCACCGGCGGGAGAGTGGCCGATAGAAAGATGACTGGGTATCGAAGTTCCCGGAGAAACCGGAGTATCGCTATCTTAGGTCGATATAATAAAGCGGTTAGAATAAGATGCGCCTTGTCGAATACGATCCGGTCAAGCTATCGATTGATATTGAGTATCCCAATCTATGTCCGAAATCACTATTTCACCGCTTACTCGGCCAAGACGAAGACGACAGGCACTCTATTAAAGCGTTCACTATCGCCGTACCCACTCCAAATCGAGTACTAGATGTTCGAATCCTGAAATCACCGGACTATGTCCTGTTTCAGTACTACGAGCGGCATCACTACTACTATCGTAGCGGCCTATAGTAAGAACGGGGGAACTATATATACGAGACTCTTCCCACCCCCGGTTTTGACAATAACTATAACTTTAGGGTATCGAGATGCTACCGCTTCCACTATCTACTGCTGAATCACCGACTAAAACCGCGCCTAGGGATCTCAAAAGAGATACCGTAGCGCAATCAGAATATCCTCAGACCCCTACGTAGTCCGGGGTCGAGTCTAGGTTCGATACGTGAGCTTTTTGATCAGAGACGACGTCGATCTATAGGGGTCGTAGATCGAAGCGGGACGGATCTGTTTCCCCCGCGGTAGATCCCGGATCTCGCGCTTAAAGAGTGTCCACTAGAGCTTACTAGTCCAGAGATATACCTATACCCCGGTATCCGTCAACTGTCCCGCAAAGTTGATAGTGCGGCCACTATAGATCCAATTACCTATCCGCCCACTATACGCGGTTTGAGCGTAGAATGATGCGGGAAGCGTGATACCGTCGACCACTGTGGTCTCGTCGACGTTGTTATCCTCGTCACCGGTAATGTCGGTATCGCCTTCAAATTTGAGACCGCTAAAGTACTTGACCGCAATAGCCACCGCGATTTGCCGCCATTTCTAGGTCGAAATCGCCCGCCCTAGACTACGCTAGCTCTAGCGGGTGAGAGCGGTCGTCATCCGTCTCTCGGGCCACGACTTAGTCCCGTGGTTAAAGAAATAGTCCCCGACCTCCGTGGGGACGTTATACCGTCGGGAAAGATAGATGCGAAATGAGATGACTAACGCTAGATACTAAATCAGTAACTGAGCTAACTTAGGGAAGATAAAGCGAACCGGGGAGCGAGATGCGTACGTCCGAGTTTATGCCTTATGATAACTTAAAACGAAATATAGAAATTCAAAGAGTAAACAAAGATTACGAATCGCTAGACCCAAATTACGCCAGCGAATACCTAAGAACTTAACTTGACGGGTGGGCTGCCTAGAGCCCTTATATAGTGGAACCACCAACGCGTCCTTAAATCCTTCATCGAAGACCTCGTACTCTTGGGCGAATTCGGATCGGATAGGCTACGATACCGTATCGTCAAACTCGTGCTACTCCGTATGGAAGACCGTATTAAGTAACCTACGGTCCTATCCAATGTGCCGGATGAGCCAGTCCTAGTAACCCTTAAAGTAGACGGCGTTATGGGGATCTTTCATGAAGCTATACCTAGGCTAATTGTTAGACTAGTTATCCTACAGCTTAACCAGTGGAAATGTCAGCATACCGGGCAAGCCGAAACATAACTCGTCAGAGAAGATTCACTTTACCTCCTGGAAAGCTATATAGATTTCGTCCGCCAGATTACCGATGCCGTATTGAATGTCGCCGTACATCAGATTCTTCCCGTTAGCGTCCTAGACCACTAACGCTTCAGGAATGGATGCGCCCCTGACGTGTATCGTGTAGAGACGCTAGTCACCCATCACGCTCATCGGACCGCGAGTGTCGTTGAGAAGCCACTACTGATAGAGCTACTTTAATGGCTCCTCGATATCTTTAAGCCTATAGTGTTCCTTGATATGGTGGGCGTCCTGGAGGAGAATCAGCTAATAGCAGTAGATGAGCTTGCTCAATATGCCCACCACTTGGCCTTCCGGGCAAAACGTGATCGTCTGGTCCTCAAGACTGACGAGCGATGACTGGATGGCCAAAAATAATATGATCGCGCTATTATAGACCCGCGTAAGCTTATGTTGAATAAGTACTACGTAGAAATTGAAGATATAGTAGTTAAGCTCGGGTTCAAGCTAGTCAATTCGCTCTTAGGGTTCGGATACTAGATGAGTATCCTCCTCCTCCTCCTCCTCCTCCTCCTCCTCCTCCTCCTCCTCCTCCTCCTCCTCCTCCTCCTCCTCCTCCTCCTCCTCCTCCTCCTCCTCCTCCTTAGTATTACTAGTAATCTCCCTATCCTCCCGTAGACGTAACTCGACTAGCTTCGCGCTAATACCTAACGCTGTAGTCAATACCTCCACCTAAGAATCGGTGGCTATAAACATCTCTTGACTAAAATGACCTTCAAATATACGGACATAATAACCTATTAAAGATTAAAGTACGGTGAGATAATTCCGGAACGATAACTTATTCTATAAGAGCTGGAATGGATCCTGGCTGGTGGTGCCGGCCTGAAACGTATTCAATACCCACGTATCGACATATAATAAGTTTGGCACCAACTCGTACGCCTTTTGCAGCACACGCTCGATAGACCAGACTAACTCATAAAGTCGCGGGTTATCGTTGTCCAACCTGGGCGTAGTATGTGATATGGTAACTAATTTAGCTTCCAACCCGGCTAAGTACTGGTGGAACGCGCTCTTCCGTAGCCACGGCGAGATCTCGGAGATATGGTTAGGTTCGCTAAGCTGGCGGTAGCGGGCCTCGTCCTCTTTTATGGCACTCTCTAAGCCGGCGGTAAGTGTCTGGGCCACGTTGGGACCGGGTTGACTACGGCTATGACGCGCGCTACCGACACTAGAACCGCTGCCGAAGCTGGCACCGGGACCACCTAGAGCTAGCGGCCCTAGGGTCCTGGGTATCTCTCGCTGTACAATCTAGTAATCGGGGGTCTTAGCGAAGAAATACTATAGTGTCACCTTGCGATACATACACTGCTCTCTCTACTGGCGCCGTGTGTTGACGCCGTGCGCTTCACTAGCGTATCGCTCCAGCTTCTCTTTACTAGCTCAGAGATGTCTATACGCCTCGGTAGCGCTATAAGCGAAGCCCTCGCGGAACTGCAGCCCGGGGATGAATAAGCTGTAATCTAATGGGCGCGTCACCTCAGCCGCCACGTTCTGTGCCGCTACCCAGCTAGTGATCTTTTTAGCCAGCTCACCTTTGACACTGTGCCACCTCTTGAGATATTCACTTAGACTCAGGCCTAGCGTATAGTATGTCTAGTGGATGGTGTAGAGAATGACCCCGAAGTCTAAGAGTAGCCGTAGCTATTGAACTGGTGGTGTCGAGGCGGGCTACGATATACTTTCACCGGTATCTGGCATATTATTATCCATCACCGACCCGTATCTTAGGTCTGGGGAGTCGAAATTAAGCTCGGACGGACTCTCGGGCATCCTAAATAAGCTGTAACCCTCAAAACGTGAGAAAATTGACGGTATGGGGGTGATATGGTGAAATTCACTCTCGTAATCAGACGTGAAAGTGATGGGGGATGACTAAGAATTTTTGTTAGTGGACGTATCACCCGTGGATAGATGACCCGACCCCTCATACTAAGACTCATTTTATATGTGGATAGGTCACCCGTCCAGACCGGAATACAGTTAGGAAATTCTTAGGGATAGGCCTAACCTTAAGTGTGTTAAGATGTATGGAAAATGTATATAAAAACATAAAAATAACGAAATGTTATCTATAGGAGGCTTAAACGGTAAAGGAAAGCTAGGATTACTAATAATGTCAAGCATTAGCTTATAAGATCTATTAACGCTAGATTCTATAGTATAGCCGCTATACGTCCCTCCTTCTATAATATTAATAAGATAAATGCCCTAAAGTTCGGATAGAAGTGATAATCTTCTATATTTTAATAGAAAGAATATAACTTCTTTCTTTAAGGAGTTTAAAGAGCTATATGAATATAACTAAGTAATAGTAAGCGGAGAATATATCTATAGGTCTATTCGCTTTATATTAAAGGTAGAGAAGGAGTATTATAAAGAGCTCACTAAGTTTAATATAATAGATTAGGAGAAGTTTAAAGAGAAGATCTTAGATAAATATAAAGACTAGGATAAAACGTAGTAGATATTAAGTATTTAATATCTTTAGGTACTTATAAAGCACTAGTGAGAAAAGTCCTAGAGTCTAGAACTATATCTCTATTAATTCTATAAGGCTATAACTTACTTAATTCGGACTAGAGCTAAGATAAATTATACGTACTATCAGCTCCTTCTATCTAGATTACTAAAGATCTATATAGATAAGATTTAGAAGAAATAAAACTTAATAGATCGAAAACTAGAGAATTTAAACTTCTAGAAATACTAGGAATAAGTAAAGAAGCTATAGGATACTAATAATAAGATAAAGAAATTCATATAAGAGGTACTTAATGAGGAATTCTAAGAGCTAATATATAAGAGGGAGACTTAACCTTTAACTACTCAAAAGGAAGACCTTAGGGAGTAACGCTACTAGGATAACTATATAAACATAATAAAGATAGATAGGAATACTTCATTATCTTTAGTAAATTAACTACCTACCCTAAAAAATAATAACTAATTAGTAGAAGAATTAACTTATCTAATAAGAGCGTTAATACTATTAGTCTAGGTATAAGACGCTATTACTCTAGAATTTATAAGTTAGCTAATTAAAGTACTAAAAGAGGTACCTTAAGAAGTAATCTAGCCCTCACGTGGTTAGTTAGCTTAAGATCATTCAGTTCGGTTCAGAGAGAAACTATAGTATTATAATAGGTAGTTAAGTAGGTAAAGCTCGAACTTAAGTAACTCTAGAGTTAACTACTTCCTTTATAAGTAGTCAGGATATATATTACGAGAAGACCCTTAGTAGGTATATTAGAAAGCTACTAGAGCGTTATACCTTAATCCTAACTATAAAATCGCCCTTAGAAAGTTTAGAGGCTAAGACCGTCCTTTACCCGCTCTATTAATCTCTATTAAAGAGATAAAGGTCGAAAGACTAGAATAGATTATAAGGGAAATTAATCTAAATTCTGGTATTACGTCCAAATAGCCTTACGGTACGAGAGACGCTAACCTAGTACCGCTAGGCGTAAGGATAAACACTATCCGTATAGCTAGATTGAAACCTAATTATACTACCCTAGATAACTTAGAGGATAATTCCTAAGTCCTAAATATAGTAAGCTTAAAGGGGATTCATATTAATTAGCCTTAGAGCGAAGTCTATATTAATACCCTAGGAAAGCGCCTAGTCTCTTAGTAAGGTAGATACGCGTAGGTAAAACACCCTTAGATTAGAGCTTATAAACTGCCTATAGAGAGACTAAGATAATATATAACGTAGAGAGCGAGACTAACTAGGGAGATTATATATGATAGAATCGTAGATAATTCACTAGGACTAATTAACTCGACTAATTAGAGGTTAGGAATTTCCCTATATAATATATAGAATAACTGATTATATAACCTACTCTCCTAGGATACCGTAATAGAAGATCTATTAGAGCCTTCCTAGCCTCACTAGGTATTATTACGCCCTTAGGCTATAAAAGAGGTTATATATAGACTATCTAGACCTAGACCTCTCTAAAAGGTATTATTATAAGATCTAAATAGCGTTAGTAGAATTATAAATTATCTACTAAACTAAGAAGTCTCTATTCGAATAGGGGATTTACTATTAATAAAGGAAGTTTAAGATAAGTAGTTCTCTTGTAAATATTAGTATTATAACGAAAATAAGTAGGAGCTAATCTATTAAGGTTATACCTTAAGAGGTATTAGTGTATAGCCTACGTAGGCGGAAGGTAAGCCTATCACTAGGATCGGGACTATATAAATAAATCCATTAGTAGACCGTCTAATTCAACCGCGATTATATTATAGTAGATATCCCTACCTACCGGTCAAAATAAGAGGGAGATATAAAGATTCCTTACTAGATACTAGAGTAGAGATCAACCTAATGACCCTTACTCTAGTAGAAGAGATAGGTCTATCTTAGTATCTATAGAAGGCTAAGTTTATCTATAACGTTATAGAGTTTAATAGAGACTAAGAAAAGTTCGTAGGCATAATTAAAGACTTCGTTATTAATATTACTGGAGTTAAGGTCCTAATAAACGTCTATATAATAAATACTATAGATCTAACCTACCGTTTTATCTTAGGGAGACTATTCTAGAAGGTAACGTAAGGGTTAGTCTAAGAAAAGGATAAAGATACTTATATCGTTAGGTTAATAGATAACTACGTTAGTAAGAGAGTATAGATAGTTACCTAGACTACTCCTAACCTCACTAAAGATTAAGATATATCTACGATATTTGAACTTATATACTTAATATCTTTAAAAGGCTAGGCGAGTATAGAACGATAAAGAAGCCTATACTTATATCTATAAGGGCTTAGAGGAAACCTAAGACTCTAGCTATTAACTTCTAAGTAGACTAAAATAACGAACTAATCTCCGTAGGTAAGCCTTTTGAATTAGATAATAAAGACCTCTAGGACTTATAATTTAAGACTAGGCCTTTTAATATATAAGATAACGGCTAGTTCGTAAGGTTATTAAGGCTAATAGATACTAAGGTATTAAGATAGGATCTAGAGAACGAGTAATATTATGAACGTTATTAAGCGGAAAGACGTTTTAAGGCTTAAATTAATACCCTCTATAAGAAAAAGGTAGATAAAGTGAAGTCTATAGATATAGACTAGTAAGATAGTTTAACGCCTAGTAGTCTTTTAGACTAGAGAGTATAGGCGATCTTAAGAGAATAAGTTACCTCTAATAGACGACTATATCTATTTTTATAATAGATAAAGCTAAGACTCGTATCTTTCCCCCGTAGAGAACGTTTAACGTTAGAATATCTAGAAAAGCTAGTAATTAAGCCTAATTTAATACTCTCTAAGAAGGAAGTCCTTCTAGAAATCCTATATAATCGAGAAGGAGTATTAATATAGGAAGTTAATGAAATTAGTTAAGTCTAATATGAAGTTATATTACTATAGATTATTCGGACCGTTTCTCATACTCTATAGTAGACGAAGAGTTTTCTAGTTCCTAAGGTACTTAAATTAGTTATAATTAAACTAGTTAAGGATAAGATCTAGTAACGTCTCTTTAAGTTCAGCTATAGTTCATATAGAAACCTATTCTTCCTAGTTAAGAAGAAAAAGCTAAGGGAGTATCGGCTAGTTATTATAGCTTAAAATATTAACTAAGTTACTATAAGGGATACGAATCTACCCCCTTTATTAGATAACTTCGTAGAAGAGTTCTTAGGGATATATATAACTTCTCTACTAGATTAGCTCTCTAATTATAACTAAATAGAACTCATAAAGGAGAGCCGCGACCTTATAGCTATCTAGACTCTAATTAGGTTAGTTTAATACGTAACCTTACCTTAAGGGGCTATAAATTTAGTAGTATAGTTCGTAAGGATTACGAACTATATTCTATAGTGTGGAATATCGCCATTTAGGCGTATGGCCTAATTAGGCCTAGCGTCTTATCACGTGACTAGTTAACGCTACTAGTCTATACTAGATCACGTGATATAGGCGGTGGCGTTAAGGGTGGCGTTACTATAACGTGATTAATTACTAATAGTGATTAGAAATCTACCTTCGAGGTACTTCTATCACTATCTAGTAGTGTTTCCTTTGTCTATATAAGAGCGTTCTCTCCTCTCAGATAGTTAACTTAACTAAGCTTCCTAACAGTCACGTACATTACCTAAAAGGGTACGATCCTATGAGCCAATCTACTCTATGTCCTCCGAACATATAGGAATAAATCCTAAAGCGTACTCAACTATTTCTAGACGATATTACGGTAAAGGGCCCAAAGATAGACTATCAATAGTAGGAAGTAGCGCTAGGAATATATCTCTTTATATTAGAGTACTTAATTAACCTTAATAAGGTAATGCTCAATCTTAAAAGAGTTAGAGCTATAGTTATAGGCTAGAAATTATAGCTCTACATAAATAGAATAGAGATAGTTAGGTACGTCTATAATAGAGACAGATAATATCCTTAAGAATTAAAGACTTATAAAATCCTAACCTAGCCGGTCCTAACTAATTAGCTAGAACTCTATAAGTTCCTTAGAATTTATATCTATTACTATATCTAGATTCTATACTTTATAATACTCACTAAGTCCCTATATATATTACTTAGGAAAAACGTACCCTAGAAATAGACTAAGATTTAAGACTAGGGTATGAAAGCCCTTAAACTTACGCTATCTTCTCCTCTAGCCTTAGTAAGCCTTAACTATAGGGAATAGGCTAGTCTCATTATCCTAGCGGTTAATACTAGTGAACGTAGATAGGGCGTAATAATTATATAGATCGATCCGGTAACGTAGAAACGGA